ACTTGCTGCTTTACTAAATGAAAACAAAACAAACAAAAGAAATACAGAGGAGAAACTCCCTCTGGCAGAGCACGAAGCCAGCCTGAGACCTGTTTGGGAGGTTTCTAACGGCTCCATATTTTCTGTTTCCGATTAAACTTTCAAAAATGTTCCCATAGGAAGCTCCCATTTGTGAACTTTGTGAGTAACCCAGGAACTGTTAGGTACCAATAAACTAAAGGGATCTGGCGGGAGCTTTTCAGATATGAGGCCCCCGCAGGATATGGCTGCCGGTTAACTGGATCGTGTCCCTTTTCTAACCACAAAGCACTTGATCTCTGTCTTGGAGAAGGACAAAATAGTGACCATTACTTATTCATGGCTTTATTGGGAGGAAAACAACAGATTGTAAGTTCTGTTTTTGCCATCATAACAGATTAGATACCCTAAAAAACCTCTCAGGACAAAATATTGAGAAATGGGGTGGTGCCCATAGCTCAGTGGGTAGAGTGCCGGCCACATACATCGACACTGGTGGTTCAAACTCAGCCAGGGCCAGCTAAAACAATAATAATAACAACAACAACAACAACAACAACAACAACAAAATTGCTGGGCGTTGTGAGCACCTGTAATCCCAGCTACTAGGGAGGCTGAGGCAAGAGAATCACTTAAGCCCAAGTGATTGGGCTGCTGTGAGCTGTGATGCCATTGCACTCTACTAAGGGTGACAGCTTAAGACTCTGTCTCAAAACAAACAAACAAACAAACAAAATACCTAGAAATGATGAATTAAATATAGAATATAGTCTTTAAAATGTTGAATTCACACGAAAAAACCAGGAGACACCAAAAGTGCTAAGGTGATGCTCATACTGGTCCCCAGTCCTGCCTGGAGAGTATTTGGTGATATTGGTGATCATGAGTTTTGGGTTTTTGACATATAGTGTTTGTGCAAGGTGTGTGTGTGGGTGGAACCCAGGCTCTGCATGGTGATGAGGTCCTCACAAGGCTGAGCCACCGGGCACAAGATGCTCACGCAGGGTGATGGCAAGTGATGCTGTCTGTTTCCCTGGGCTCTGGTAGAAAATGGTACTCAGATTCTGTCCATACACAGTTTTGAGGCCTGATTGATATAATCTGAGTGGTCAGAAACTCCGTCAAGATGGTCACATGAAATGGTCTAGTTTGATAGCACCTCTGTCACCTAGTAGAGGAAGAAAAGGGAAAGAGCCTCTTGGCACAGCCACGGGCACCCATAAGGTGCTCCGGCCCGGCCTGATCCAGGCCCATTCTCCAGTGCGGAGGGGAGCACGGCCTTGGTCCCTGCTCTCAGATGCCCATACCTCAGGGCCCTGGAGCTGGCCTTGCCCGCCGTCCTCCTGCAGCAATGTGAAACATGGTTAGTGACCCAGAACCTCAAAAGGAGACAGTCCCCCCAGGCGTGGGGGTGGAGGCAGGACAAACAGTTTTGATCCTGCAATCCCATTTCTGGGCATTGCAGAAATCTGGGCATTACCCAGAAGGCAAAAAAATCCTTTTACCATAAGGACACTTGCCCTAGACTGTTTATCATAGCTCAATTTATAATTGCCCAAATGTGGAAACAGTCTAAATGCGCACTACCCCAGGAATAGATTAACAAACTGTAGCATATGTATACATGGAATACTACTCAGCCATTAAAAAGGATGGAGACTTTACATCCTTTTTACTAACCTGGATGGAAGTGGAATACATTCTGCCTAGTAAAGCAACACAAGAATGGAGAAACAAGAATCCTATGTAGTTGGGTGGTGCCTGTGGCTCAGTGAGTAGGGCCAGGCCATATACTGAGGGTGGCGGGTTGAACCAACAAAAAACAGCCGGGTGTTGTGGTGGGCGCCTGTAGTCCCAGCTACTCAGGAGGCTGAGGCAAGAGAATTGCCTAAACCCAAGAGTTGGAGGTTGCCGTGAGCTGTGATGCTGAAGCACTCTACCAAGGGAGACAAAGTAAAACTCTGTCCCTAAAAAAAAAGAATCCTATGTACTCAGTTCTCATATGAGGACAGCTGTGACCTAGTACATGGTGGGCGGGTCGGGGAAGGGAAGAGCAGAGAGAGGAAAGGAGGGAGGGGGGTGGTTGGTAAGTGATGGTGTGTGACACACCTTTTGGGGGTGGGACACAATCATAAGAGGGACTTTACCTAACAAATGCAATCATTGTGACCTGGTTCTTTGTGCTCTCAATGAATCCCCAATAATAAAAAACAAAAACTGAAGTGTCTTTTTCTAACATCTATTAAATCCAAGCTGCTCTGCTGAATTCCTTTTCATGACAGGTATACCTCACACCAGCTCTGCTCTGTGGCAATCTAGGGATGAAGGATGAGTAACTTGCACAAGTCGATAGCCTAGTTTTGGTAGAGCAAGGGCTTGGATTCTCACGTGTCTGTGCCAAGAACCTGTGCCCCATTCCCTAGACTCTTCCACCTCCAGAGACATCCTCCTGATTTTCCAGTCCCTTCAGAAGCATTTTTGGGGAGGTTCGGTCCCAAGGAGACCACACACTGGTGCTATTCTGAAACAAGATGTTATCATGGATTTATCTCGGTTGTTTTTTCTTTCCATTTAAAAATTTAGATTTGGGGGCTGGAGATTCATTACTTCATTCAAGCTGTTGTATTTATTTCTCAGCAATGCGCCTTGAATTCAGCTCACATATCTCACAATTGTTTCCTAAAGTGAGTAATGCTTCCTTAGCCACATAATCTTTATCCCTAAAAATATGTCAGCCTCACAAATAGGCCTGTGGATACCTATGGGAAGTAGACAAATTGAGGATGAGCCAGTAAATGCCCTTCGCCTGACCAGCCAATAAAGACAACTCAGTTATTACAAAAGTATTGAACATTTATTTCTACCAAAGTCCAGATTCTCAAGAAGTAACCAGATGAGATTCTCAGACATAAACATTTATGTTTCCATAGCTATCTGGGAGGGAAAAAAAATAAAACCCACTTAGATTTCTGTCCATGATTATAATTTAATTCATATCAGCACTTTACAAGGTTTAAGCATATTTAGAAAAGTGGTTTCTTCTTTGATGGGGATCAGGAATGCAGCCCTCTTGGGAAAGGCCAGTCTGTGGTAAACCAGCTGGCCCCAGAGGTGAGTAGGTGCCAGGAACGTGGGAAGCTGCTGATTGTGAATTCCTAGTGTGATGCTGAACCTGGGAGAATTTACTTGGATTTGGAATTACTGTGTCATTGAATGAAGCGGGAAAGGTCATTGTTCACACTGTTCACATTTACTTCTTTTTAAGTCTGGTTCAAAGGCAGTGAGAGTCGTGTTCTAAACTAGAGACATCTAATTAATTAAACCACAAAGACTTTGAAGCAAGTATTAGTAGTAAAATTTTTTTTTCTCCTAAAATTGAGCTGGTAGGGGTATTCTCTTCTTTTCTAGACCAAGCATTTAGTGAAAAAATAATTGATATCTAACCATTGTTTTACCACAAGCTCTGGGCTATGAAAGGTTTGAGCACATTGCTGGTATTCAAATTGTTACCAACTAAAGCAATGTCACCTAATACATAGTACTTTGTGATTATTTATTACTAGTTTTTCCTAATTATTTTAACAGTGAGGGCTATTCACTGACCATTAAGAGTGGGCTGGCAAAAGGGAAGAGAGAGGGGTGGGGAGGGGGGAAGATGGGTGGAGGGAGGGTGATTGGGGGGACCATGCCTATGGTTCATCTTACAAGGGTACATGTGAATCTTTCTAAATGTAGAATATAAATGTCTTAACACAATAACTAAGAAAATGACATGAAGGCTATGTTAACCAGTTTGATTAAAATATTTCAGATTGTATATAGAACCAGCACACTGTACCCCATGACTGCATTAATGTACACAGCTATGATTTAATAAAAAAAAAAAAAGGAAAAAAAAAGAATGGGCTGGCAGATTTTTAAAACAACATTTGTTATTTTATTTTTTATTTTTTTTTAGAGTTAGAATCTCACTTTGTCATCCTTGGTAGAGTGCTGTGGCATCACAGCTCACAGCAACCTCTAGCTCTTGGGCTTAGGCGATTTTCTTGCCTCAGCCTCCTGAGTAGCTGGGACTACAGGCCCACCCACGACACTTCTTCAATTAACTCAAAGTCACCTGTTTAGGGACTTTAAGCACATCTGCAAAAACTTTTCACCTTTGACATGTAATGTAACCCGATTATGGGAGAGACTGCATCATCATTTTTGCCATATTCTATTGGTTAGAAGCAAGTTACAGACTCCCACCCCCATTCAACAGGGAAAAGATTATACCAGGGCACGGGTCTTGGGAATCGTTCGAGAATTCTGTCTTCCATAGCTTATTTAAAAACATATATATGGGTAATAGAAAAGAAAACCAATAAGTGTTTGTGATTTGGAGCTATTAAAATACTGAATACAAAGAAAGAAATTACAGCACTGTAGTTTAAAATCTTAAAGTTTTGTGGAGATGGCACCTATTTTGAAGATAGAGAAAATGGTTTTCCTATGCTCATTCTATCTTACAGTTACTGCCTTGGATATACATATCCAAATATTTAAACTCTGTATTACATTATATTATATGAACCTAAAGGGAATAATTAAATAAGAAATTCTTAAAGATAGACATTTAATTACATAAATGATTCACTTAGAGGACCGTTTTACCACATGGTAACCTCATTTGCATTAAGAAAGTATAATGTAATTATTAGTAAGTTATATAGTTTTTCTCAATGTATGTTAATTCAACTTTTCTAATAGTTTTTTCCTTTTTGTTTTGTTGATGATATCTTTGACAGACTGATTTTTCATTCGAGGTGTCAATCTTTCCTCAAGATAGTGCTGGCATCTTTTAAAGTTGTATTTTTTACAATTTTAAATGCCATGTCTACGGAAGTATCTTCATCAGTGACTTTTCCCTTCCCAGCCCCACACCATCTAAGGGCGCTCATGGTAGCTCCTTTTTCTTGTCTGTGCCAGAGAGATGTTTTGGAGTTAAAACATGAAATTGACTAAGAATCTTGTCAGTTTAGGCTCTTCTTTCTAGGGACAACTACTCCACTGGTGTTAAGTAGAAAAACAACATGGCTTGGTGACTTTAGCTCGTTTTCTTGACATTGGCAATGAAAACGCAATGCCTGTGGTATACGATTACTTGAGGATGGCTTGTAAATCCCTACAGATATGTGGTTACTTCTCTACTTTCCCTCTCTTTCGCTTGAGCAACCGCCACATTGATGCACTGGAGCCATTCTTCTGCATTCTTCTCGTCCTTGGCCTTGAAAACATAGGTTTTATTGTCTGTGAAGATTTCGAAAGCCCGAGGGAGAGAGCGATCCCTGCGTTTCTTGGCCACAGCTTTCACACTCTGTACTTTGCTGAGTTCTATGGGGGAGTCATCTGGATCGTCTTTCTGAAAAGCACCGGAAGGGAAGAACATGAGCTGGCTCTTAGTGTAGGCAAGGGTCTCTGACTACTGGAGACTTGTCCAAGAGGCCCAGAATCCTTTTGCTTTCTATGGCTCAAGATGTTTGCTATTTGGGGCACTAAGGCCTCGCAGAGTCATTAGAATAATGGCCGGAGTGAGCAATCGAGCCTTTATTATAGCATTGTAGCTTGGCATAAGATAGCTGATTTGTAGGACATTATTATAAAGCGGGACTTGGGAAAATGCTTAATTCACAGTTCTTACTTTTCTATTGATATTAACACTATTAGTAGAGCAAAGTATAGCAGCATAATCTGGAGTACTATTAACTCAGAATTTCAGATAGCTTGGGATGTATGAAGTTGAATTTTCATTTGTGCTACTTTTAAGAAGGGATTTTCCAAACCTTTAATTGAATGAAAAATTCTGGTGTTTGAGTGGCTCAAACTGTTCCTGAAAGTCTATGCAGCTTTGGAAGCAGGCTTTGCGTACAGACACTAAGTAAAGGAATATTTAATGATGCTACATTTGCCTTTTATCAAAGCAGAAGTTTAACGATCTCTACAACATCAGAATCATCGCACTAGGCTAGCATGAATAGGGTTTTTTTTTTTTTTTAAAATGTCTTCCTTTGCCTTTATAACATGAATAGTTCTAAGGGATCAGATACTTTTTCAGAGCAATTTCAGGTCTATAACCTGCCTGAATACATTTTTTTCTTTTTTCTTTGCCTGCTTCATTTGTCCTTCATATTTATAAATAGATAGATATAGATACACATACATGTGTATTCACACACACACACATATACACACACAGAGAAATTACAGTTTGTGGACAAACAACATGGCTTGGTGACTTTATCTCATTTTCTTGACATTGGAACAAAAGTTGCTGATGCAACTTACAATGTTGCAAGGTCTTGCACAGATTTTTCAAAATTCTTTTAGAGGATTTACAGGATGAAGTTTAAATAATTTATAGTAAGTATCTGATGGTAATAAAATTGCATTTTTGTGGGGGTGGGACATAATTATAAGAGGGACTTTTACCTAACAAATGTAATCAGTGTAACCTAATTCTTTGTACCCTGAATGAATCCCAAGCCAAAAAAAAAAAAAAAAAAATTGCATTTCTTTGCATTAGTTGATAGCATAGAAATTGATATACTGAGGAACTAATCAACAAAATAAAGTTTCCTTCCTAATGTTAGGTCGAGAGGAGTAAAAAAAAAAGTAAAGAGTAATTTAAACAGGGACAATGAGTCCCTAAGATAGGAATAGAAAGGCAAAGGACACTGTTGCCTAGTTACTTGGTGGGGATCAAGACCTCAAGAATGCAAAAGTAAAACATTCCAGTACAATCTTCCAACCACAGTTCTCACTTTAAAATGCACATTTCTTTTATTTAAAAGAAAGGTCTTTTTAAAATGATGTGGTTGAAGCTTCAGTAGGACTGCTGACCACTGGTAGTTATTATGTCCCTGAAGGTTAGAGGTATTTAGCTGTGGCCCATGCTATATTAAATCATTTCTCACTACTTGAACCACATATTCTGTCAGATTTCTGGAATGTCACACCATTATTTCTTCACAAAGATGTAAAACAAGTTAGATAATTATAAAATTCCTTATTCTTTAAGCTTCATTAAAAAGACCTGAATCAAGAGTATAATGGTCATTATCTGATTTCAGGAAAAACTCATTCTTATGTACTAATTCTGTTAAGGGAATCTGAGGAATCAATCACTAATCTTCACTACCTCTATTCCTGTTTCTTAAATAAAAATAGGAAATTCATTACATGGTCATTTTAAATACTTTAAAATGTTTCAGTGTGAACCTATGTTTATAAATATTATTTCCTTAAATCTCTAATAACTGTCTAAATTGAATATACTATTGTATTTCACTCTCAAAAAAATCTTTAACCAAAGAAGAGTTCATTTGCCTATGTCATAATACATGCAGATAAAGAAAGTAACAAGAGATCAAACTTGGTATCACAAGAATATTCTTTTTCATTCAAAAAGTTAACAGTAAGTCTTATTAATTAAAAGAGCCCTGGTTAGAATTTTTCATAATTCAGATATATCATTCTTGATTTCTGTTGAATAAAATGCTCAAATAAGTTTTCTAATGAGGACTCTAAAGATATAGTGCATATATCTGGAATGAATTATCATTTTTAACTAATTTAACTCCTTTTATTAATTAATTCAGACACAGTTTGGTTTATGGGATGGTTAAGCTTATGTGTCAACTTGACTAGACTAAGGGATACCCAGATGGCTGATAAAACATTATTTCTGAATGTGCCTATGATATTGTTTCTGGAAAAGCGAGCATTTGAATCAGTAGAATAAGTAAAGGAGACTACCCTCACCAGTGTGGATGGGCATTGTATAATCCTTTGGGGATTTGGATAAACAAAAAGGTGAGGGAAAGGTGAATTCCCACTCTCTTCTTGAGTGGAGGTATTCGTTTTCTCCTGCCCTTAGACATCAGGGCTCTTGGGTCTTGGGCTTTCAGACTCTGGGACTCATACCAGTATTTCCCTCCCCACTCCAGGGGGTTCTCAAGACTTTGGCTTTGGATTGAGAGTTACATTGTTGATTCACCTGATCTCAGGCCTTAGGGCACAGACTAAATCATACCAGTTTTTCTGGTTCTCTGCTTGCTGACAGTTATTGTGGAACTTCTCTTCTTCCACAATTTTATGAGTCATAGTAAATCTCATATATCCATATATATCCTATTGGTTCTGCTTCTGTTCAGAACTCTGACTGATACAGTTTACCATTGGTTTTATATTTTAAGTATACATAGGACACGGTAGAGTATGCTATTTTGAGGGTTTCCCACTGAAAATTTAGAGTGCAGATAACTATAGAGCATCTTCTTCAGATTGAAAATTATATTAAATGAATATTTATTGAATCTATTTATTAATTGAATATTATAAATACAAATAAAAGATAGTAGTATTTTTCCCTAATCAAAATTGACCTTTGTTGACTAGAAGAGGTACTTAAAATATACCAGCCTTCATCTCTTCCTTTCTTGCCTACTCTCCTGCTTCCTTGATCCCTACCTACAAATACAACCTATAATTATAAGTAAAAATAAGAATCAATATCACAAGCCATAAATTTATGGATGGGCCCTCTAGGAAGCAAAAGGCATATTGTTTGATTCAAGACCACCATGTAGACGGTCTCTAGTTCATCTTCTAAAAGATGATCAGAACTTTAACTCAAGACAAAGTGTCCAGCTGGTTGATGGAGATCAAAACCTTAAAAAGGAAAGTGTAAGAGATCCCAGGGTGGGGGGCAGATGACATAGGAACTTACAGACTTTCCTTTCTGAAACAGAAGCTGATTTCCAGCCAGAGTAAAATAGCGAGTTTTCCACCTTTTGATGAACTTCCATCTGACTTGCTTCTCTTTAAGTTTTCCTTCTATGAGAGGCTGGCCATCTTGATTGACAACTGTGGAAGGTAACAGCATGAGCAAGTCATTTATTTTCCATTATTTATTTGGCAAGTGATCAAAAGTCAGAATTGCACTGTGAACCATAACCCAGGAGGCATATCTGGAAAGTGGACCAATAAATTATGATTTTGGTGAACTTTTTCTCCTTTGTCCTTAAAAGAACATACAATTCAGATATGGTGATAGAAAAGTATTGAAAGCCTTCATTGAGATTTTCAAAAGGAATTAGTTCACAAAAGCAGCATCTGGTCAGCAGTGTTAAAGGTTCACCGGATATCCAGATTTCTGTGTTTCTGGGCTTATTTGTTTCCTGGTATTATGTTCCAAAGGTTGGAATGACCAAATCAACTCAGAACAGTTTGAAGCTTTGACAAAAAATATCTAGTATGCCGTAAGTGCCATTTTGATTTTGCCAGTAGCTAGGTAATAAAAAACAAATTTCCATGCTTGATGACACCTGGACTGCTAGAAATATAGCTTTACAAATAATCATAAACCAAGTATATTTAGCTTTTGGCAGCAGAAGTTAATGCAGCACATTAACCTGAAAAGGAAAACTACCCAATTCTTTTGTACATGCTATTTAACTCTCTTGAACACACACACACTCTCTCTTTCCTTCATTTTATTCCTATCTTCACCTAGTCAACAACTGATCATTTCATATTTCCACTCATATGTGGCTTCCTTTGGGAAACTTTCCCCAAACCCAGATGAGAGTGGTTTCCCCCTTAAATATCTTCATAGTACACGGTACAGGTATGTTTCTTTTTATATCAGGGATTATCATTTGTAGATTGAATTGGCATTTATGTGATGAACGTCTTCCTTCCTCATCCAACTGGAAGCTCCACGAAGGTAGGGGTCTTTGGTTGGTTCCCCATTGAATCACCGAGAATCTATAGAGCCCCTAGCAAACAGTAGGAAATCTATAACTATTTACTGAATGGATTAATTTTACATCAAAAGACTGTGTGTGATTGCACATAATCTTAGAATTAGTAGATACAGTACAATGTCAGAAGTTTAAATGTTGAGCTGAAAAATTTCTCTCTCTCTCTTTGCCAACTATAGAATAGTCATATAAAAGCATTCAGTTTCAGCAGAATCAGGTTGTGGAAAGCTGAATTTGGAGGAGGTCAATGTTTAGTTATATGTATTTCTGTTCAATTTTCATAGCACCTTGAAAGTAATAAAATTTGTTTCATCACTTTGGGTAAAATAAGGACAGTGCATGTTTGACCATATGTGTGAACACATCTGTTTTTCCTATGCTCCCATTTTTCTTCCTTTTCCTTTTTTTCCCCTTCGATTGTTTGTTTTTAGAGACAGAGTCTTACTCCTGTCACCCACACTGGAGTGCAATGTGTAGTCATAGTTGAATGCACCCTCAAACTACTGGGCTCAAGTAGTCCTCTTGCTTCAGCCTTCTGAGTAGCCAGGACCATGGGCACACCCCACAACACCACACTAACTTCATTTTTCCTCTTTTGTAGAGATAAGGCCTTGCTATGTTGTCTAGGCTACTTTTAAACTCCTGGTCTCAAGAGCTTGTCCCACCTTGACCTCCTAAAATGCTATGCTTACAGATGTGAGCTGCTGTGCCTGGCCTCATTTTTCTAATGCAGGTTAAAGAATTACTTCATAGAGGAGGATTGTCCACCCTGACAGAGCATTTTTAGGATAAGGATAATAAAATGTATAGTTTTCATAAGCAAAGTTGTATTAATACTACTTTGGTACTTTTTTTTTTTTTTTGAAAAATTGAATAGTCTGAGGACTAGTTAATTGGCTCTTCTACAGGTAGCTCCAAATTAAGGCAGGAAATTGAAAATACATGTCAAATATGTCGTTAGATAGTGATACGGGGTAAGATGAAAATAAAGTAAGGAGTGAGGGATATGGGGGTTAGGTGTGCCTGCATCTAAGAGTTCAGAAAAGAGCTTGGACATTCAAAGTGAAGTATGATCTGAAGCCCCGTCTTCTGAGAAGCTCCCTGGCAGCCAGTACTATGCATAGCAGAGGCCTGGGAAAGCAGGGACCATGAAAGGATAAACTGAAAATCAATCTCAAGAAAATTATCTAGGGTTCTGGTTTACTAGGAATTTGCTTTACTAGGAATTATCTGATTTAGAGCATTCTTTTTTTTTTTTCTTTTTTTTTTTTGAGACAGAGCCTCAAGCTGTCCCCCTGGGCAGAGTGCCATGGCATTACAGCTCACAGCAACCTCCAATTCCTGGGCTCAAGCGAGTCTCCTGCCTCTGCCTCCCAAGTAGCTGGGACCACAGGCACCTGTCACAGCGCCCGGCTATTTTTTGGTTGCAGCTGTCATTGTTGTTTGGCGGGTCCAGGCTGGGGATTCGAACCCGCCACCTTAGGTGTACGTGGCTGGTGCCTTAGCCGGTTGAGCTATAGGCGCCAAGCCAGTATTTTTTCTTTTTTTTGCAGTCTTTGGCCAGGGCTGGGTTTGAACCCACCACCTCCAGCATATGGGGGATTTAGAGCATTCTTAAAAAGCTAGTAATATTCTTCAAAAACTGAAAATTTCCACAAATATAATGTTGACTTTCTTTGCTCAGCCCCGACACTGTGGGGTGATGCAGCTAAAACTTTTACGACACTGCACCTTTCCCCTGTGCTACACACGAACGCATGGGCAGCCTAGCACTGGCTATACCTGGGCTCGGGGCTCAGTAAGCGCTTACTAACAATGTGCTGTTGAGTCATAAAAAGTGCAATGGCCTATCTGGGAGAAGGAAGGAAAGTTTCAAGAGGAGATTCAAGAGGAGGAAAAATAAGTGAAACAAGCAACAACAAAAACCCACCCCCAAATTAATAAACATCGCAAATTGTCAAGGATTTTGAATGAACTCAGAAGGTTTAAATTTGAATCTTCTCAACTACTGTTTTCTGATCACCAAATAAGAAATAATAACAGTCCCCTTCCACTTAATAAAGATGTTGAGAGGTCAAAACTCAAAATACAGAAATTTCTGGGAGGACACTAGGAAGATAGCCAGGCACAAAGCACTCACTACTGTCCCCCACACCAGTTTTGGTAAAGACATTCTTCCTAGCTTGTAATCACATTGCTTTCTTGCCATGGTTTTTGTGGTAATGTGATTTGCTGTAATGCTATTTAACAATGGTACACTTTTCCTGTCTCAGCCTCCCATATTTACTTAAAGATGCATTTAAAATAGTTATGGTATCTGAGATGATTTCAAATCATGATCAATCTAGGTAATTTTTAAGCACACGGATCCTTCTGATCTGATATAGCAGATTACCTAATGTATTTTTTTCCACAACGCAGACCTAAATGTTTCGTGTGAAGAATATGTCTGCAAGGAGCCCTTGGCAAAATTATTGAAGGACTCCCTAGGGACAGGGGTACATGGGATACAATGGCTATAACAGAGACCCAAGACCAAATGGTAGGCTTACTAAGTACCAAGGATGAAGAACTTCACAAATATGCTGCTAAGCAAGAAGCTTTCATTTTAGCCTGATAAAAATGAATCTCAGGGAGAAAGTCCATGGAATGGGTTTTAGGAAGGAAATATTAGTAGAATTTTAAAGCAGCTGAATGTTAGGACCCAAATTTAGGTGTCAAAGTCAGCTTCAGATAATTTAGTAAATGCCAGGCTAATTGTAGTTGTAAAATTAATTTTCTTTTTTTAAAAACAAACAAACAAAAAAGGGACATACAATATTTCCGATGGCAATCCCATATCTTAAAAATTTTTTTGCAGTTATGTCTAGCATATGTACAATTGGGAATGTGCTATTAAAATAGTATGCTCTTGTAAGCAAGCAATTCTTATATAATGTGACACCCTCTTCACAACCAAAATAAAGATTTTTTTTTTTTTTGAGACAGAGCCTCAAGCTATCCCCCTGGGTAGAGTGCTATGGCATCACAGCTCACAGCAACCTCCAACTCCTGGGCTTAAGCGAGTCTCATGCCTCCGCCTCCCAAGTAGCTGGGACCACAGGCACTCGCCACAACGCCTGGCTATTTTTTGGTTGCAGCTGTCATTGTTGTTTGGCAGGTCTGGGCTGGATTCGAACCTGCCACCTTAGGTGTATGTGGCTGGCGCCTTAGCCACTTGAGCCACAGGCGCCGAGCCTGGATCTTGCATTTTTAACAAAGTCGCCTGGTGACTTTCATGTTGTTCAAACACTTCTAGGAAGGAATTAGTATCCTCATGGTAGATGACAGTTATAGGTTGTATGATATACAAAAGAGTAACACTGCAAAACCAATAGTAGGGAGGAAATTGTTATGGCCCTTCAATGAAATTAAAAGAGTAAGATAGCAGTTTAAGGTAGTATTCAAGTTCTTGGCTTCAGTCAATAGTGTTATAGAAAAATATTCACAATTATTGTTTGTGGAATTTGACTTATCGTGTTATCAGTGAAACAAAATGTTAAGGGCACTTTCCAAGAAGATAACCCATTTTGTAGTTCTGACCAGTTTGTGCCTTTATGAGAAACTCCTTGAAGAGGGTTGGCTCAGACTTTCCAAGTAATGACTGATAGAGAGCTATAGGAAAAGATCAGGAGGGTGAAAATGAAGACAGTTGAGACTTAGGATTAAACTTTTAATAAGGGGGCAGAGCAAGATGGCAGGTCACAAGGACCATTCAGATGAGCTCCCCTAGAACAACTAGGGAATAAGAGAGAACCCAGCCATACCTGGTGTGGGGACCATGCCTAGAGTCATAGCTCAGGGAGCACAGCAAAGAGGTGGTGAAATGGATACAGTGTATGATTTGGAGGATGGAAGTATGATGAATTAGGCAAGTGATTGCAACTGGCTGGGATTGGCTGGACCCCCAGAGAAGTCCAGAATGGGAGGAAGCCTTTCCAGAGTTTTCAGTTGTTGGGGGAAGCTACACATTGAGTAGAAAGCTTGGAAGAGTGGGTGGATTCAAACAGTATTCAGCAAGCAAATTTGAATGCTGGTTGGAGTGGTTTTGCCATAGGTTTG